AACTTTTATGCAATGATTTTGTCACTTCACCAGAATTCGACCTAAAGTTCTAATTTCTTTACTATTTTTTTGCATATCCTTTTTATTTGTTCCGGCAAAATCATTTTTGGTTGAGAGGACCCCCAACCTGGCGCTGATATTGACTTTAGAACTTGAGAAGTCAATTTTTGAAATTGAAAATAACTTTAAATAAGAAACTAGAATAACCACTTTCAAAGAAAACCGAAACAAGATAGTAGTCCTCGTCTGGTTCTACTTGTCATTATGAGCCCACCTGGAGCAAAGGAGGAAGAGGAAGCGGAGAGAGAGGACGAAGAGGAGGAGGAAGAGGAGGAGGAAGAGGAGGAGGAAGAGAGACCAGGATATGGAAGAGGAGGAGAAGAAAAAGGAGGAAATGGTAGAGGGGGAGAAGGTTGAGAAGGAGAAGGTAGAGGAGGAGAAGAAAGATAAGATGGAAGACCAAGGAAGATGCCGAAGACGAGAAGGAATTAGAATACCTCCATGCGTTGACGGATAGCTTCCTTCTGTCTCGCATCGCCAAGTGAAAGCCGTTCCGCTTTCTCGAACAAGCTCTCGCCTATATTTCGATAGTGCCTGGACTGAAGCAGGATCTGTTCTGCATTCCCTGTGTCGGGAGTGAATGTCAAGTCGGCAGACAAGTTGCACTGTAGCAGCTCCTGGGCATGAAGGGGCAGGGGCAGCGGCAGGGGCAGCCAGCAGAAAGGGAGCCTCAGGTCAGCAGATCAAGCTTTGTTACGGACCCGTGCAATCTTTGCCTTGGACTCAACCGAAATCACAACACGCAAGTTGCAGCTGTTTTCTCTTATGAAAAAAGCCATTTCGTTAAACGGACTTGTTTTTTTTTTGGGCGGGTGGGGGGGGGGAGAGAAGGAGTTCAACGAAATTGAAACCTACTTCTTTTTTGGCCCTAAGAATGTCACCGTCTGAAAACGCCGGGAGTTCTCCTGGCAGCCTTAGCCAGTTTTGCTTATCAAAGAATGCAATAGTTAACAGCCTGCCTACCAATCTCATGCTCGCTATTCTATATCTGCGCTTAGACTTACTAAGGTACTACTACCACCTTGCCTTACTAACGCCTCTAGTCTACCTCCCCTAGTCACTAAGCCTATACACAGGCCTAATACGGCCTGACCCCGGTCCAGTTCGACCGAGCGGAACTCTGTTCCTGTCTTCTCCCTAAGATACTCTCCCACCCTACCGACCCGTTTGCGGTCTACTGTGACTGCCCACTGGAACCGAGTATCCTGGTTCTCCCTACTCCTCCTGTCTTACTTATCTAAGTTCCCTATCCTCCTAGCCACTGTGATATATTGCTAGCTTATTGCCTGCGCAGGATGCCAGGCCCCCTGGTCTGGCCCACGTTTCTGCAAACCACTTCAGGCCTGATCTTTCGCTGCCTGACAGGACTTTCCTTCTCCAGTCAGCTCTTATTTCCAGTTTGAGCATGCTTTTAAACATTCGCTCTGCCTGTGCTTCTTCCAAGCCTTGACCTTGGAAATGCCTGCCTTTCCTGTCTGACCAAATCAACCACATCATGACTGCTCGACTTACTTGCGCAACGTATCCCCATCCGTGACTGCATGGGACATTCTCTGGAAGGAACCCGAATATAACCCACCGTTTGCCCCTGCACCGAAAGTCTCCTGACATCTTGGACCAGTGTTGGAACCACCAGTTCCACCACTTCTGCGATCTGGGGCAGTCCCACCATAGGTGAGTCATGGTCTCAAAATGCCAGTTACAACGATCGCATTTGAGGTTGACATTCATGCCTCTGTTCTCCAGCCATCTTGCCGTAGGTACTGCGTTGTGAGACTGAAGCCATAGGAGGGATGCATATTTCTGAGAAGGGACGGACGCTAGTTGCCCCCACATCCTTGAGAGTTCACTCTCTTCTGGCGTTGCTAGTGAAGGTTGCGCTGTTTCCCAGCGGGCCTGCAATTTAGAGATCAACTTTTCCTTAGGACTATCTCTGCTCCTAATTAGATTAGTTGACATCTTCATCGGGTCCGGGACCGTTTCGGTTCCTGAGCGCCATCCCCACATCAGTGGCTCTATTCTCAGCTGCCTCTTGGCCGTTCCACCAGCTACCAATTTATAGACAGATGGTTCACCTCTCCCCTGCAGTCTTACTGCTCTCACCCGGATTTCCTCCAAACCTCCCAGACCCCATCTCGTGGTTGAATGGTATAAAGCTAGGATATCACTGTGTTCTTCTAATCTACTGTATACATCTACCTCACACTTCCCACTACCGTCTTCGTGCCAGCCTCTGAGATGTAGGAACAACAATTGACCCTGATCTGACGGCGACTTCAGCCAGGTGCCAGGGGGGTTTACTCCCTCTGGTCCTAGGAGGTTTTTCCAATCCTGCGGAATTGCGGCTATCAGTTGGTGTCTTCTAATTTCCGGCAGAGGTAGTCTTCCCAACTTCTCTCTCAGCTTGGATTCTGGATGCCACTGGTTCGTGCTGTCGTCCCATAGGTCCCCCACCACCGATACTCCTCTTTGCACCCACTTCTGTCCAAAGTTCCCAGGAGACTTAGTGGCGGAAAAGTATCTTCCTTCCGTGTTTTTGATGAGGTAATTGTCAAACAATGGTTGATTCATCACCTCCACCTTCGTTTGTGGAACCACCCTTACATCCGGTTTTGTCTTGCTCCACGCTGATAGCACATTACCCCATAATTTTGACTTAATCTTTTTCTTGAGGAATGAGTCCATCATCAATGCGACCCAAACATCTGAGGGCCTGCTCAGGTCCCATTCCTTCTGCAGGATGCGTTCCGCCAGGAGGCACCAGTCTGGAGCACTGTCTGCTTCCGCCGCCTTTTGTACCCAGCTCGACAGGAGAACCAAGTTTTGGGATCCCGGATCCGTAATGGCCGAACCTCCCTCCTCTCTTGGTCTGCAGAGTGTGTCCCAAGCTACTTTGGCAATGTAGCCTTGGTCTTCGTCCACTTGCGGCTTCCAAATAAACTTCCTTGCTGCTGCTCTGATATTCTTGAGCGCTGTACTCGATAGCTTGCATACCCTGAGGACGTACCACAACAGGGAAAAAGCTGAGACAGTCGTGACCAGGGCTCTTCCCATCAAGGATAGGTGGGGGGCGCTCCCCCAGCTCTTGATTCTGTTACGGACTCTTTCTTGCAATAGGAGATCTTGCGCAGAGGAACAGTCTTCGAGTGCCACTAACACCCCCGAGAACCTTTCGGCAGAGTTTGCAGGGACTCTCTTCATCCCCCACTGGGCTTGGAGCTGGTGCGCTTCTGGGAGGAAGAAATTGGACTTATTCCAGGGCTAAGCCGGCAACCGGCCGGTCGGACCGG